GCACGCCCCTTGCACCGGCCTTCCCGGGTTTTATCGCCCTCCCAGCACCGCCATAAAACCCCAGCTGGGACCGGACCGGGGGACTGTTTCTGCAGGAGTGGTTGAGTTTCTGGCTTTAATAAGCCTCGGCCCCTTTCTGATTTTCCTCTTGGAAATGCCAAAAGGCACCAGCCCAAAATGAAGCTTGGAAAATGCCTATAAAATCGCTTGTAAAGGCCTCCCAGCTCCCCTCGACTGGGGTGAGCACCACCACCTCCAAGCAGCACGGGGACTAGGACACTGTGATGTGACAGTCTGTTCAACTCAGGCTCTTTCCCATCACTTTGCTCCCTGCCTGGGTGTCAGGTGGGTTCACTAAGTCTCAGCACGGCGAGCCTCGGAGCAGCTCCCAACCTGTCGTGAAGCCTGGAAAATTCAAGGGCTACAGTCAAGTCAATGGACCGCCGACCACAGGATGCAGGAGGCTGCAGGACAGGACAGAGACGTGGGGCTAGAAGGGACCTCAAGAGATGAACTGCCTGCGAGGACAGGGGGTCCACAACCTCTCTGGGTGCAAGGCCTCCACAACCAGGCTCAGCGAGGGGTGGAAATGCAGGGACCAGAGCAAGGGGAGGCGTGGGAATGAGATTAAAAAAACCCCAAAACACCCAAGGTGAGACCTCTCCAGCAAGCAAGTCTCCCTCCTAGAGAAAGGCTCTTGTCCAGCCTGGAGCAGGTCCAAGACCTGTCGGACAGGAGCTCAGGTAGCAGGGTTATAACAGAGCTGGCCCGGGGGAAGTCACTGGGAGTTTGGAGTCAAGCAAATGCACCAAGACTTGGCTGGACCCCACTGCAGGGGACTTGAATGGCGCTGTGAAGGTAAAGGAGCACGGCTTGTTAGAAGGAGCGTGCCCTTCCGTGCGGCATCGAGCCCCGCTTGCTAACGTCGGGAACGCAACTTTCCTTTCTCCCAGCTGTCATCAGCCCGCGCCCTGCCTCTCCAGCCCCTTCCTGCATGGAGCTCGTCCGGGCGGGATTCAGTAGCCATCTCACCCGCACACAGAGCCCAGGGGCACGATGGAGCATGTCTAGACCTCCCGGCATGGGAAGTCGGGGGGCCGAAGCTCCAGCCATCCCTGCCCCCTGGCTACAAACGATAGCCAGCTCGGCAGCTCAGGGGGGGACACCTTTGTGGGGGAGCCTGGGGGTCCCACAAAGACCTGGGCTCACTCGCCTCCAGGGCCGCTCGGGGAACCGGCCCCTCTGGCCTCAGGGGGGTGGAAGAACGATGCACGGGTTCGTGAGCAATTATAGCCATGTTTTCTGCCAGCTGCTAGACTCCCTGTCACCGAGCTGATGGGTAGACTAAACAGCAGGGACCCTGCTGATCTCGCCCTCGCGCTCGCCCCACCAACGCAGACGGCTTGGGCTACGGAGGAGGGATCAGCAGCCGGTTTGGGGCGGGGGGTACCATGGTTAGCATCAGAGCTGGCAGCCGAGTTGTCACGGAAGGGGCTGGGGATACAGGAGGTGGTACAGGGAAGGGAGTGAAACACTTGTCCTGATCAGTGGAAAACATCCGTGGATCCCCTTTTCTGCCCACAGGGAGGTGAGGGTGAGGTGGCCTTGCTGCCTCGGGCTCCTCGCTGGGTGGTGCGGGGTCCCCTGGAGCTCCCTCGCTAGCTAGCCCCTTTCCCCCTGTCCTGGGGGAAGGAGCCCCTTACCTGATGAGCCCTTTGTGAGGACCGTTTGTGTTCGGGGCTGGCGGGGGGCAGTATCAGTCAGGTCCCCTTGTCCGAGGGAGCACCAAAGAGCAGGGGAGCATCCCATCAGCGGGTCTGGAGCTGCCCAGGCATTGATGCCCAGTGGACAGAGCATGGGGGGTAGCCTGGTTGGCAGGCCCGGATGAGCTCCATCCGAGGGTGCTGAAGGCTCTGGCCGACATCATTGCAGAGCCACTGGCGGGAATATTTGAACGCTCGTGGCGCACGGGCCAAGTCCCGGAGGACTGCAAAAGGGCCAATGTGGTCCCCATTTTCAAGAAGGGGAGGAAGGAGGACCCGGGCAATGATAGGCCAGTCAATCTCACCTCCATCCTTGGCAAAGTCTTTGAAAAAATTATCAAGGCTCACATTTGCGAGAGCCCGGCAGGACAAATGATGCTGAGGGGAAACCAGCACGGGTTCGTGGCAGGCAGATCGTGCCTGACCAATCTAGTCTCTTTTTATGACCAGGTTACGAAACGCCTGGACACAGGAGGAGGGGTGGGTGTCGTATACTTAGACTT